CCCTCACACGTTCTCATCAACATCATGGCCCTCTGCGAGAACCACTTTTTTTTCAATTTTTTTTGAAATTGGCGACTCGCTGAACTCTGCTCCCGATTTCACGATAAGAGTTTTCTCCACTGCTTCTTTCTTAGTTCACCATATTGTCCAAAGATTGTTGAATATTGTTTCAAATGACGAACCGTTGTGAATTTGATGTGATATAGTCTGCCTAATATACTACTAATTTCTGTTTGTTCATATGGTTTGTTATCCAGCTATTATTCGTTTTTTTATGCAGCACTAAGTTTGTAATGAAGCAAACTCATGGGCCCGTAATATACAATTTATTTATTTATTGCAAGCGTTTTTTCCACTAGTTTTTTCTCGATTGTGAATATTGTTAGCTACTGCTGTAAAAGGACACATTGCCAGTGATTTGAAATACTCTACTCACAACACTTTATAAAGCTTTTTTCAGGCGTTCTTCTGTTTCAGTTCTCGTTTCTTATTGAAATAGACGACTCCGGTTATGAGACGAATATACACCATAACTTCATCATACACAACTGCCCTTTCATATTCATCTTTCTTGACGGCTTTAACACGCACCAGTATTTCTAATCGAATATCATTGAAGCGTTAAATTCTGCTAATACAAGCTTTCAATTATGTCTGCTAATGGTCCTTTTAATAACTCGACTCGACGAGGTCCTTGAAATATTCAACAAAACCGGCTTCATTTCTATTGCTGCCTTGGCTTCATTAAGGAGATTTGCTCAAACTCATCCTGGAATGTGGAAAAACGAGTAGGATTAAGGTTTGTCTGTATTTGAAGGTTACGGCGGGTCGTTACTGCATCCCCTAAAAGCCACTGTATGAAAGAGGTGTCTTGTATTTTCTTGTGATTTAAACAGGTCCAGGTCTGAAAAATGCAAAGTAGTTTACTCGTAAGATGTCTTCCACAGGGCTTTCTGCGCAAATGGGCGTACCTGTGCATTTTTTTCTCAGCAAAAGCTAGCGAAAGAAATAGTCTACTGATGAATATATTTCATGAAGCAAATTCGACATAGTCTATTAACAACAAAAACAACAACAAGTGAACAATCTAAAAAATAAAACAGGCACTGCGAGCTTACGTGGATAATACCGACTAGAAGAAATGGTTTCATAAAACATGAAGGAAATAAGACAAAAAATAAGAGCTATTGGAACCACTTAGTTGCCTTTTATGGAAAGTAGTCAGATTCAAGGTGGATGCATACAAGATCTGGAGCTAACAAAAAATATTTGGCGCTGTGGATTTTTGATTTTCCTCGAAATGTGGTCTCAAGGGGTTTATTGGCAGGCTTCTAAGACCTGGACAATTTCGGTAAAATTCCGCTTTTTTGCTTCTTCAAGGGCCGTAGTTCCGTATCCTGTCCTCTGATGCGGGTCTACCTCGGCGCCGTCGACTTCAAACATATCCAATTCCGAAGACTCATATAGGTTTGTACCCGAGGAGCCTCGAGCGGGTGCAATGAGGTAACGCACTGTATTCAGCTGTCGATAGACAACCGCCGTATGAAGAGCAGCACGGCCCTCGGCGTCCAATTCCTAGCAAGTAGTTTTAAAATGTATGCACAGTAATAGCCAAATTTCACGTGGTGCACTTGAACAGTTCAAAATTTAAGCCAAATAGTAAAGCCATGTCTATAAAAGGCTAACCTCGAGAGTCAGTCCGGCCAGCTTATAGAGCCGTAGACGTCTAATGAGGCCGAGTCTAGCTGCGTTGTTTGCCTCCTTCGCCTTAGCTGATGTGAAGGCAGGCAGTCTTCCACCGTACTGGCGAATCAGTGAAATAAGCGCCGGCGTGGAGTTGTTGCTACGGATGGCGTAAGAGAGAGGAGTGTATCCAAACTTGTCGACAACGTTCGGATTCGATCCGCCTTCCAGTAAGAGGCGACACACTACGATCGAGCCAGCCCCAGCTGCCAGATGAAGGGGTGACCGGTGGCTGTCATCAAACCACTGAAATTAAATTTCAAACAGAGCAGGATATTTTAGACTTTGAGTATTTAAGACGTCAGAGAGCTTTACGGATGACTTTCATCCGCATCCTACAGCCAGACAGCGCATATTCTATAAAGGCATGCGTAGCAAATTTATGTAAAGGCTCCTGACAATCAATGTGGCAGTTCATATCTGTGGGTAAAACGGATTTGAAACAGGTCGGATTAAACTAAATGTTGTCAGTTAACGGTATTCTGCGAATGCAAATAGGAGCACCAGACAAATACAGTCACCGTGTGCTTTTTTTAATGAAACATCTGCATAGTCCTCCGAGTAATTTGCGTAGCTTCTTTGTATAAATCCTACTGGCGAACCTTGCGGGACATCAATCCGACTTTTGGAAAGCGCTTATGAATTTATATTAGCCGAAATAGGCGTCTCACATCAAGCATTCGTATAAAACGATCACTATTTTTGAACATTTCGAAAAATTACAAATATTCTGACGACTGGGTTTGCTACTTATGCAAAGAATAGGCGCAAAGAGATGTTCATATCCATTCCACCTATTTTAATGTTCACCAAATATAAGATGTTGCAATAGGGCTCAAGAGTGACTCCGCTAACGTTATTTGTTTGCAGCTGACTACGTATTCTCCCCTCGTCTAAAACAAAATAATTCTACATAAACTTCAGCCTCCCTCTACCAGACATCGCCTATTGAAAGGAAGCAATAACTTCAGCTCGAACTGTGAGTATTCAACCGGATTGCAGAAACGTTGAAGACTAGCAAACCATGGGAGGTATGACGTAATCCCACGCCCTATGTACGCCTGTCTGTATCGCAAAAGTACAAAGAAAAATGCGCCTTGTGACGGCGCGCACTAACAAAGAACAAAGTTATACTTTCTAATTTCCCTAGAACTTAATTTATGTTCTCAATATTGGATCATTGGAGCATGGAACGGACTCACTCACGAGGTAGTCCTGTCGAAAACTGTCGAGATGGTTAAACGCAGACTCGATTCTCAGCACAGGGGATCAAACAAATAAAGGCAATTTTACTTCGGAGGTCCAAGATTGGCTATGTCAATTAGCCGAGAGGAAGTTTTCTGGAGAAATGTTAAAACCTTAAATTTGATTAAAGCTCATGCTTCAAAGCGTGACAAGCACCCTGCTTCCTGACAGAAGGGGCGACCTGCATGGACTATAAGATAATACGATATCAACAGAGCCGCAAAAACATTTACTGGTTCATAAACTTATTACCACCAGTTGGTCTCCGGATCCTATTGCATATGTTATTATTTATATGGAGGCAAATGACCATTAGTGAAAGAACCCAGCGGGTAGCCGCACCTCCTTATTTATAAAATTAGCCCTCATAATGGGTCATGCCATTGGTACGCTGCATCAAAACGGTGGTCAGCTTTTCTAATGGAACGCAGTTACCAGGCTAAACAGAGTCCACACGATCCCACAACTACTGCCGTAAATGGGACGTATATAGGCACACCCAAACGGCGGCCTTCACATCGAGTCAGCAACTTCACTCAACTCTACCACCAGGTGATGGACGGACTTGGGCAGGTGACTGGTGCATGAGAGAAGGAAAGGGGGATACTGACAACAAGGAATCCATCCTTCTGGCAAATTAATTCATTCCACACTACAATAAAACTATTGACCTAGAATCTATCACGATGTGCTAAAACTCGTGGCTTGAAAGGTTGACAATTTATGGGATAACTCAATTCGTTTGACGACCACAAATCAAGCCCAATAGCTTCTCATTAATCTGACCGCCATGAAATCCAAATCGCATTCGTGAAAACCTGGTACATGTTTTAGGAAACAGGTCGTGTGTGACATTCGCAAACGTACTACAGTGGCGCCCCGGATGACGAGCAGTTCCATCTACGAGTATTCCAGGTAACGAGCGGACGACTGAAAGAAAATTTGTTTCGACTGACGAGCTTCCGCTTAGTCAATGATTTGTCATTGCATATATGTGCCTGTGTCTGCCGCTGAGTCCTGCTCTCATGGTGTGGGTTCTCGGTCGCCTGCAGCCAATCAGGGGACTGATGTAGTTTGATTGGCTGCGTTTCGTAAAAAGCGTGTTTCAGATTAAGAGCTCGATGCTGGAATGGAGTAAACTCGAT